GGGCCCTCGGTGGAGCACCCTGGGGGGCCACGAAACGTGTGAGGGGCCTGTTGAAATGGGGCGGGTACCCATGTGAACCCTGCCACTGGGGCCCCAGGTGGAGCCCTCATATGAAGCCACGAAGCGTGTGAGGGGTCTGCCGAAATGGGGCGGGTACCCATGTGAACCCTGCCACTGGGCCCTCGGTGGAGCTCCCTATGAAGCCACGAAGCGTGTGAGGGGTCTGCCAAAATGAGGCGGGTACCCATGTGAACCCTGCCACTGGGGACCTCGGTGGAACCCCCCCTTATGGGGCCACGAACCGTGTGAGGGGCTCGCCGAAATTCCACAAGGCAAAATAGAAGAGGAAGACGAGGCCTCCTGCACTTCTAGAGCCGTCGCTGGGGCCTCCGGTAGAGCTGCCCCAGGAGGGTACGAACCGTGTGCGGGGTGTGGCGAACATGTGATGAGAATGATGAGTGTGGTAATTGAAAGATGAGGATGCTGACGAGCAAGAGGAGGAGGAGGAGGAGGAGGAGGATGAGGAGGAGAAGGACAAGGAGGAGGAGGAGGAGAATGAGAGGAGGAGGAGGAGACGCGCGGCACTGCGAATTCAAAACGAGGACGCAACTCCACAGGACGGTTGGGAAAAACATGGAAGTGTGGTACTGCGACATCTTTGATGCGCCTTGGATTTCCACTCCTCCTCCTCCTCCTGCTCCTCCTCCTCCCCCTCTACCTGCATCCCTTTGTCCGCACAAATAGAACTCCTCCCTGTCGCAACCCCAGACGTGTCGGTAGAGCGGGTTGGGCGTTTCGCATGAGGACTTCCCCACCATCTACGATCCTGAAGTTTAAGATTTGCAACCGTTGCACTGGAGGGCGGGTCCTTTCCAAAAGGCCGCTCTCACCTTATCGCCGCGCACACTCGTCTTGAACAATCGCAGCATCTTCGCGGATGGAGGGCGGGTTGTTTTCACAATTGCGTTCTCGCCGTAGCGACGCACACGTTCGTTCACAAGGACTTGCAGCCGCTTCACGGATGAAGGGCGGGTCTTTTTCAGAATGTGGCTCTCGCCTCAGCGCGGTGCACGCTCGTCTTAAACATTCGCAACAACTTGACGGATGGAGCGCGGGTCCATTTTCGAAGTGCGGCTCTGAACTTAGCGCCGTGCACATTCGCCTTGAAAGTGCGCAACGGCTTCACGGATAAAAAAGGACGAGGCCGGTTCACAAAATGTGGCTCTCGCCGTGGCCCCGCGCACAGTCGTCGTAAAAGCCTGCAACAGTTTCAAGGGTTCGTCTGGTTGGAGTCCAAGAGACTTTGCTATGGCACGACTTCGGATTGTCAGGACACAGCAGCCGTTTTGATCCGCGGAGCTGGACTTCCAGGAATGGCGTCTCGACGCGATTGGGGACTCTGAGACGTTTGCCTTCTAGTGCGCCGCTTCCCGCCATGCAGACAAATTCTTGCAGGGACCCTTGAAAACATTGGAAGGGGGGTAATTGCAACATCGTTGATGCGTCTTGGGTTTAAATTGGTCCTTCTCCTCCTCCTCCTCCTCCTCCTCCTTCTCCTCTTCCTCCTCCTCCTCCTCATATTCTACCTCCATCCATTTACCGCATCAACAACCCCTCCCTGTTGCATCTCCGGACGTGTCGGCAGGCCAGGCTGGGCGTTTCGCCTGAGACTTCCCCACCACCTACGATCCTGAAGCTCGAGATTAGCAACAGTTTCACTGGAGGGCGGGTCCTTTGCAAAATACGTCTGTGGCTTTAGCGCCGCGCACACCCGTCTTAAACAATTGTAACAGCTCCACATATGGGGGGCGAGACGTTTGCACAATTGTGACTCTCGCCTCAGTGCCGCGCGCACTCGTTCACAAAAAGTTACAACTGCTTCCGGATGGAGGGCGGGTCCTTTTCAAAGAGTGGCTCTCGCCCTAGCGCTTCGCGCGTTCGTCTCCAAAGTTCGCCGCAGCTTCACGGATGGAAGGCGTGTCCTTTCAAAAATGTTGCTCTCGCATTTTAACGCCGCGCACGCTCGTCCTAAACATTCGCAACAACTTCACGGATGGAGGCCGCGTCCTTTTTTGAAAATGTGGCTCTCGCCTTAGCGACGTGCACACTCGTCTTAAACATTCCGAACAGCTTCACGGATGGATGGCAAGACCTTTGCAAAATGTGACTTTCGCCTCAGCGCCGCGCGCACTCGTCTTAACGATTCGTTGGTGTCCTGGCACGGATGAGAAGTGTCAGGACGCAGCGACCACGTTGATTCGCGGCGACGACATCCAAAGGATGGTGTTCCAGCGCGACTGAGGATTCTCAGACGGTTGTCTTCCAATGGGGCATTTTCCGCGGCACACGCAATTTCTGTGAGTACCTAGATTTATTTGGAGGCAGGGTTCATTGCAACATCGCTGATGCGTCATGGATTTACACTGGTCCTCCTCCATCCCTCGTCCTCATAAGTAACTCCTCCTTGTCGCGCCCCGAGGCCGGTCGAAAGGGCGGGCTGGGCGTTTCGCCGGAGAGGCCTCACCACTTATGATCAAGCTTGAAATCTGCAAGAGGTTCACGGATGGATGGCGGCCCGCTTTCAACATGTGGCTCTCGCCTAAGAGCCGTGCACATTCGTCTTAAAAGAACGCAGAAGGGTTCGCAAATCGTAGGCGGCCCGCTTTCAAAATGTGGCTCTCGCCCTTGACGCCGCGCACATTCGCTGTCTTACAACATTGCAATGGCTTCACGGGTGGAGGGCGGCCCGCTTTCAAATTGTGGATCTCGCCTTCGCGCCGCGCGCATTCGCTTAAAAGAAGAAATGCGAGAGCTCCACCGATGGAAGGCGGCTCTTTTTCAACATGTGGCTCTCGCCCTCTACGCCGCGCACACTCGCTGCCTTACAACATTGCAGCGGCTTCACGGGTGGAGGGCGGCCCGCTTTCAAACTGTGGATCTCGCCTTCGCGCCGCGCGCGTTCGCGTGAAAGAAAGAATGCGAGAGCTTCACGGATGGAGGGCGGTGTCTTTTTCAGCACGTGGCTCGCCCATGGGCGTCGCGCACACCCGTCGTCACCACTCGCAGCAGCTTCACGGATGGCAGGTGGCCCGCCTGCAGAACGTGGCTCTCGCCCTAGCGCCGCTCGCATTCTCTTGAGAGTGTGCACGAGCCCTGCGGACGCAGGGTGGCTCTTTCTAAGATGTGGCTATCGCCTTCGCACATTCGTCTTGAGAGTTTGCAACATATTGAAGGATGATCATGGTTATCGTCCCAGAAACAATACTTTGGCACGATGTCGGAGTGTCAGGGCGCAACAAGCATGTTGACCCGCGGTGTTGAAGTCCCAAGAATGGTGTTCTGGCACGACTCAGGACATCCTAGACACAGTGGTAACGGTGATTCGCGGCGTCGAAATACCAAAATCGGTGTTCTGGCACAGTTCTGGAATTTCAAACGGTTGTCTTCCAGCGAGGCATTTCCCTCCGTGAAAATGAACCCTTGCAGGGCCATATGAGGACGGAAGTTGGGAGGGTCTGTTGCAATATCGTTGATGCGTCTTGGGTTTACACTGGTCCTCCTCCTCCTCCTTCTCCTCCTCCTCCTCCTCCTCCTCCTCTCTGGTGGGGAGGCGCGCCTCGAACACCAAACCGACACCCATGGCGTTGCGCCGCAGTTGGGTGACGTACACCGGCGTCGGGAGCTCGTCCCGCAGCTTCAGACGGTTCGCCTCCGTGGGGATGACCTCCACCAGGGGCATCTGCTGGATGAGCTGCTTGGGCAGCTGCCTCGCGAGGCCTCCTCCTGATCCTCCTCCTCCTCCTCCGCATCCTCCTCCCTCCCCATCCTCCTTCTAATCCTCCTTCTGTTCCCATTCCTCCTGCTCGTCCTAATCCTGCTGCTCCTTCTGTCCCTGCTGCTCCTCTCACTCCCACACCCCGACACCGACTTCTCCTCCTCCTCCTCCTCCTCCTCCTCCTCCTCCTCCTCTTCCTCCTCTTCCATTCCTTTCCCTTATTCATCACAACTTCCTGTCGCACCCCGAGACCTGTCGAAAGGGCAGGCCTGGCGTTTCGCCTCAGACTTTCTCACCACTGATGACCCTGAAGTTTAGAAGTTGCACGAGGTTCACGGATGGATGGCGGCCCGCTTTCAAAATGTGGTTCTAGCCTCTGCGCCGCGTGCATTCGGATTAAAAGCCTGCAAGAGCTTCGCGGATGGAGGGCAGTCCATTTCCAATGTGTGGCTCCAGCCTTAGCGCTGCGCACACTCATCCTGAAACATGGCAAGGGCTTCACAAATGGAGGGCGGCTCCGTTTCAACATGTGGCTCTCGCCTTAGCGCCGCGCACACTCGTCGTGCACAACTGCAAAGAGCTTGGCGGATGGAGGGCGGTTCCTTTTCGAAACGTTGCTATCGCCTGGGAGCCGCGAACATTCGTTTGAAAGCTGTGCAAAGGGTTCACGGATGGAGGGCGGCTCCTTTACACAATTCGGGTCTCGCCTTTGCGCCGCGCAAATTCGCCTTAAGAGTTTGCAGCAGTTTGAAAGATTATCATGGTTAACGTTCCAGAAATGATGTTTTGGCACGACGTCGGAATGTCAGGGCGCAACAGTCACGTTGATCCGCGGTGTTGACGTCCCAGGAATGGCGTTCTGGCACGATTCAGGACCGTCAAGGCACAACAGTAACGGTGGCTCGCGACGCTGATGTCCCAGGAATGTTGTCCCGGCACATTTCAGGAGCTTCAAATGGTTGCCGTCCAACGGGGCACTTCCCTCAGTGAAAATGAATCCGTGCAAGGGCCTATGAAGACGGAACTTGGGGGGAGGGTGTATTGCAATGTCGCTGATGAGTCTTAGGTTTACACTGGTCCTCCTTTTCCTCCTCCTTCACATGCTCCGCATCCTCGTGCTCCCCCTCCTCCTCTTCCTGCTCCTGCTGCTGCTCCTCCCACTCGTCCTCCGAGGCAGCCGCCTCGCGAGGCACCCCTGCTCGGTGTCCCACCGTGCGCCCTCCAAGTACAGGCCCTCCACGTAGGTTCCGTCCAGGAGCTTCTCCGTCACCTCGTCCCTGCTCGCGTACTTCGTGACCTTCGTGTAGAGCGTGGACTTGTCCAGCGCCCAGCCCCGCCGACGGCACGAGGCCTGCACCAGCGCGCTGAGCAAGCTTTCCGGGATGTGGAGGCCGCTGAGCCAGAACACGGCGGGATCGCCGTTGATGCACCAGTCGTTGAACTGCTTGTGCCTCGGAACGAGGGGGGCTTGGCGAAGAAATGTCGTGAATCCTGGTCCTCTGCAGCCTCCCTGGGGGCTTTCTCATCTGAAAGCGCGGGCGAATGCGATATGCGAATATCCACGGAGCGTCTCACTTCACCAGGAGACGTCAGTATCCGCCTCACAGGTCCTGGTCAGGCCCATCCCTGGGCCTAGCCTCGGCGTATACGCCCTCATGGCTTGGCCAAATACTGATCCTGAGCCGCGAGGCAAGGATCGACCCAGCCGGGATCGGTGAGGTGGCTCGTCGACGTCCCCCGGAATTAGGCGGAGGATGATGATTAGGAAGAGGAAGAGGGAAAGGCATGAGAATAATGCTGGTCTTTCGTGACGCCTTCCCCAAGACACGCGAGCACGTGCTCGCAGAGGGCGCGGGCAGTGACGTGCCACGTCTTTCTTGCGTCTCAGTTGCATGCTTGTCGCTGGCTACCATCAAGTCCACTGTCAGCAGCAGAAGCAGTCACAATAATTCATGGTTCCACTCATTTTCCCTTCAGCCATCTTCCAGAGGCAGACACTTATGCTGCCCAACGAGCGCGCACCATCTTTCGCTCACTGCGCCCCCCGCCCCCCGTCTGAGCGCCTCCTGACGAAATGGTCCATCCAGCTGCCGAGCGGCTTCTCGGTCTGCGGGGCGAGCTTCGCCCACGCGCCGGGCAGCAAGCCGTTGAACAGGGACACGAGCAGCTCCTCTAGGCTCTGGCTCATCCCGATCTCCCCCTTCAGGGCGCGCTTCAGGTCCGACAGGTTGGCGAGCATGCGCTTCAGGAGCGTCTCGAAACGCTCGATCTCCTAAGAGGAGGAGGAGGAGTAGGAGGAGGAGGAGGAGGAGGAGGAGGAGAAGGAGGAGGAGGAGGAGGAGGAAGACAACGACTACGACGACGATGACGACGTGGAGAAATTGGAGGAGCAGCAACAGCTGGAGCAGCATGAGGGCGCAAGGGAGAAGGACAAGGAGGAAGAGGCCTGCTTCAGCACCACCTCCAGGGGGGTGGGCACGGTGTCCTTCAGAAACTTCAGCTCGTCGCACGCTGAGATGGCCTTCGTGATGTCGGTGGCCGTCTTGTCGACAAACTCCTCGCGGCTCATCCCCCCGCTGTCGCCACCCTGGCCTGTCTGCATGGCCATCAGGCCCTGGTAGATCTCTTTCCCGGAGGTCAGGAAATAATTAATCTCCGCGTTGGGGTGCAGCCCGAACACGGAAGGCGACTGGTTGATAGGGAGATGCACGATCTCCTGCTGGCACTGGCAAGCGTTGGCTCATCAGTCTCATCCTGCTCCTCCTTCTACGTATCCTCCCCCATTTGCCTCCTTCTCCTCCCAAGTCTCCCCTTCCTCCTGTCCCGCTTCTCCCTCCTCCCCCTCCTCCTCCTCCTCCTCCTCCTCCTCCTCCTCCTCCTCCTCCTCCTCCTCCTCCTCCTCCTCCATCCCTTTCCTGCTCATTTTCTCCGCCCTTCCGTTCCACCAGTCTTGTCCGTAGGACCGGCTGGGTGTTTTGCTGGAGACTTCGCCACAACTCAACTTTTTGAAGCTAAGCAACTCCAACTGTTATAATGATGGAGGGCAAATACTTTTACAAAGTGCGGCCGTCCAATAACAACGCGCACAGATGCAGGGCCGGTCGTTTTCAAAAAAAATCTCGCCTTGGAGCCGCGCACGCTCGTCATAAATGCGAGCAACAGTGACGAGAATGGGAGCCGGCTCGTTTCGTCTAGACGGCTCTCGCCTTGTTGCTGCGCACATTCTAATACATCGATGGGAACTGGCTCGTTTTCAAAAACGGCTCTCACTTGCGATTTCCTCCAAATCCGCCGACCCTGCTGGCGAGTGAGAGGCGCTTTTCCGTTTGAGTTATCGTCGTCGTCGTCGTCGTCGTCGTCGTCGTCGTCGTCGTCGTCGTCGTCGTCGTCGTCGTCGTCGTCGTCGTCAACGCTCCACCCCTTTCCCTGGGCCCTCCTCCCCAAGCGTTTGGGGCCACAGGAAGATCGAGCAGCGTCGCAGTTCGGCGGCCAGCCGGGGGGGGGGGGGGAAGCGCGATGGGGCCCGTCTCGGAAGGCTCAGAAGTCCCCCGGCCTTCTGAGCTTCTGAAAAGTTTTCTAAGCCTTCCCCGAAGGCACAGAAGACTTCTCAGGAGGCCAGAGGACTTCTGAGAAGTCTCGCCGCCTTCTGAGAAGGCCTTCTCCTTCTCACTTCCCCACCTCGCTCGCCGCCGAGTTATAGAGTCAAAGGCTTTTGATCCTTCCCCCGCTGGGGGTGGGGGGGGGGGAGATCGCGGGTGTGGTGGGGTGTGGGGGGGTGGGATCCCGGGAGCTGTGACCCCCCTCAAAAAAGGAGCACCCCTCTCTGGGAGAAGCTTTCCTATTTGGTTTCTTGCCTCCCCGACGCCTCGAGCTCACTTGCGCCGCGGCTTGCTCCTAGAGGACCCTGACACAGCCCTAGATCGCTCCAAGACTGCCCAAGATACCCTCAAGACGGCCTCGGAAACCCCCGAGATGCCCCAAGAAGGCTCCAAGAGGAGCCCCAAGGGAGCCTCAAGAGGCGAGCATCCGTGATTTTCATTATGTTTGTCTACTTGTCTTGCGTCTTCGGCTTTTCGGATTTCCGACGCTCCCAAGGCGGCCCAGGAAATCCAAAACATCGCCCCAAGACGGACCAAGAGGCTGCCGAAACGGCCGTGAAATGGCCCCTGACGGCCCCAAGACTGCCCAAGACAGCTCCAAGACGGCCGAAGAGGGCCCCAAGGGGGCCCCAGGAAGACCCCGCGAAGGGGAACACCAACTGACAGCTCGAGCCTTCCGCCCACAGAGGGCCCCAGGAGGCCTCGAGAGGCACCCAAGAGGCCCCAAAGCGATCCCCAAGAGGCCCAAGAGAACCCCAAGAGGGAGGACACTATGGTTTATCATGAAGCAGTTGAATGCTTTTCGTCCTCGCCTACTTCGTCGTCGACGTCCCCTTTCAGGGTCGGCGGCATTGGCCGCAAGGCCTTTGCAGTCTATGTCCCGAAGTTCCACATACTGCAACAGCTACACGGATGGTGTGCGGCCCCTTTCAAACTGCGTTTTTCTCTTGAGACCTCTGCAAATTTTGTGGCCAGAACCTTGAAGTGGAGGGCAGACCATTTTCGAAACGGAGTATCGCTGGACACCTCCTTGAGCTTTATGATGCTACATCTTTACGTTTCATCCGCCACCGTGCCTCTGGACACGGAGTGGGCGTGTTCTGAAGTCCTGTTCGTAACCCTTTAAGCTTCAATCCTCACTCCAGAGGAGCCTTCTAGGGGCGGGGACCCAAAATTTCGAAATCTATCGGGGCTTGGCGCTGTTCCCCCGGGCTCTCCCACATCTTGTCGCGTGACTTTTTGGGGCCCTAGAGGGCCCTAAGACAGGCGAAGAGGGCTCTAAGAGGCCCCCCAAGACGGTCCAAGAGGGCGCCGAGTCGCCGAACGATCGATCCAAGACGCTCAAGATGACCCCAAGACGGCCCAAGAGGCCTCCAAGTCGCCTCCCAAGAGGGCCCCATGAAGCCAAAATCATTCATTTTTCTTGGCCTTTGAAGATTTTTGGCGTTGACGGCCAGAGGGCCCCGAAACTGCCCAAGAGGGCCCCAAGACGGCCCAAGAGGCGCCCAAAACGGCCCAAGAGGGCCCTGAGACAGCCCCCCAAAAAGGCCCAAGAGAGAGAACATGAACAGAAAATCCGAGCCTCCTGGCTGAAGAGGCCCCCAGGAGGCCCCAAGAGGCGCTCAGGAGACCCCATGAGGCCCCCAAAAGGCCCAAAAGAAGCCCCAAGAGGCCCCAAACCGGCCTCCAAGAGGCCCCAAAACGGCCCCCAAGAGGCCTCTAAACTGCCTCCAAGAGGCCCCCGAGAGGCCTCCCACGAGATCCCAACGAACATCCAACAGGCTTCATACCCACAACCCAGGCACGCTGGCGGGATGGGCCGAAGGCCATTGGATCCGCCGCCCCCTGTGAACTTGCCACAGGGATGCCCAGAGTGCTGGACATTCTGAAAAGTTCTTGGTTCTCTTAAAACTCTCCCTGGGCCTTCAGCACAGTGCGCCAGCCACCTGGAAAACTGCTCGAGAGGTGATTGCCAAGGCTTTTAGATGGCTCCAACATGGCCCAAAATGGGCTCCAAGACGGCCAAGACGGCCTCCAAATTCGCCCAAGATGGTCCAAGATGGCCTCCAAGACGGCCCAAGAGTACAGGATGCCTCCAAGACAGCCTCCAAGTTCGCCCAAGAATCCTCCAAGACGGCCCAAGACGGCCCCAGAGGCTCCTAAGAGGCCTCCAAGACGGCCCAAGAGGCCACAAAGAGGCCTGGTGCTTCTTTTCGGCCTTCCGACGGCCTTCCGACGGCCTTCCGACGGCCCAAGACGTCCCGAGCGGCCCCCAATATCACCCCAAAATGGTCAAGATGGCCCCAACGGCCTCCGAGATGACCCCATGACGGCCCAAGAAGCCTCCAAGACGGCCCCAAGAGGGCCTCAAGACGGCCCAAGAGGCCTCCAAGCCGCCCAAGATGGCCTCCAAGACGGCCTTGACGCGCACCAAAAGAGCCCCAAGTCAGTTCAGAGAGGCATCCAAGACAGCTTCCGACGGCGTCAGACTGGCCAAGAACGCCCTAAGACGGTCAAAGCGGCCCCGAACAAGCCCCCAAAGGCTCCCATCCCAAGAGGCCCAAGGTTAGCCCAAGGAGGCCCCCAAGAGGCCTCCAAGCAGCCCCAGGAAGCTCCCAGGAGACCCCAAGAGTGCCCCAAGAGGCTTCCAAGAGGTGTCCTCCTCCTTCTTCTGCTCCTCCTCCTCCTCCTCCTCCTCCTCCTCCTCCTCCTCCTCCTCCTCTTCCTACTCCCTTTTCCGCCTTCTCCTCATACGCCTCTTCCATCCTCTTCCTCACGTGTTCTCCGAACGATTTCAACGACAGCCGGGGGAACGCATGGTCCGATAGCTCTAGCCCAATTCCGGCAACATAGGCGTCCTCCTCCTCCTCCTCCTCCTCCTCCTCCACCTCCTCCTCCTCCTCCTCCTCCTCGTCCTCCTCCTCCTCCTCCTCCTCCTCCTCCTCTTCCTCCTCCTCCTCCTCCTCCTCCTCCCACGCTGCGGCTGCGCAGCTGGCCCGCAGCATCGGGGTCGGCGCAGCGGGAGACTCGCAGCACAGTCGACCCGTACCACAAGGAGGCGCGATGAGGATGCAGGGGCCTCGGAAGGCCATTTCGAAGCTCTTCGAGCAGGACGTGGCCGACGAAAGTGGCCAAGGGTGGACCGAGGAGGCGAGGATGCAGGGGTACCCTTGGGAAGGGAGCCCATCCTGACTACGCGGGGTGGCTGTATCAGAGCACGTGGCGTTTCCGGAGGGGTATCTCGTCTGCCCGACGCCACCGGAGCGTCACACCACCGAGAGGCGGTGGCCGCGAGCAATCTGGCGACGGGGTCCATGCTCTATCCCCTCGCACCATTTCGCCTGGTGTTTCGCGACTTCTGCCGTCGCCATTTTGCACATACCTGCACATTCCTCCTCCTCCTCCTCCTCCTCCGCCTCCTCCTCCTCCTCCTCCTCCTCCTCCTCCGCCTCCTCCTCCTCCACCTCCTTCTCCTCTCCCCCTCCTCGCAAGCGTAGCCCTACTACCACTACTGCTACTGCTACTGCGGCGCGGCGGAGCCCCACGCGAACGCGGCCTCCTGGGGCCTTCGGTGGAGCTCTTGATAGGGGCAACGGAAAGCGTGAGGGGTGTGCCGACACGGTCGGGGAACCGCGTGCGAACGCGGCCACTGGGGCCTTCGGGGGAGCTCCCCATGGGGCCCGGTAAGGTGTGAGGGGTGTGCCGAAATGGGCGGATAACCGCGTGCGAACGCAGCCATTGGGGCCTTCGGGGGAGCTCCCCATGGGGCCCGGTAAGGTGTGAGGGGTGTGCCGACATGGGCGGGTAACCGCGTGCGAACGCAGCCATTGGGGCCTTCGGGGGAGCTCCCTATGGGGCCTGGTAAAAGTGTGAGGGGTGTGCCGACATGGGCGGGTAACCGCGTGCGAACGCAGCCATTGGGGCCTTCGGGGGAGCTCCCTATGGGGCCTGGTAAAAGTGTGAGGGGTGTGCCGACATGGGCGGGTAACCGCGTGCGAACGCAGCCATTGGGGCCTTCGGGGGAGCTCCCTATGGGGCCTGGTAAAAGTGTGAGGGGTGTGCCGAAATGGGCGGGTAACCGCGTGCGAACGCAGCCATTGGGGCCTTCGGGGGAGCTCCCTATGGGGCCTGGTAAGGTGTGAGGAGTGTGCCGAAATGGGCGGATAACCGCGTGCGAACGCAGCCGTTGGGGCCTTCCGGGGAGCTCCCCATGGAGCCACGTAAGGTGTGAGGTGTGTGCCGAAATGGGCGGTTAACCGCGTGCGAACGCAGCCACTGGGGCCTTCGGGGGAGCTCCCTATGGGGCCCGGTAAGGTGTGAGGAGTGTGCCGAAATGGGCGGGTAACCGCGTGCGAACGCGGCCACTGGGGCCTTCGGGGGAGCTCCCTATGGGGCCTGGTAAAGTGTGAGGGGTGTGCCGAAATGGGCGGATAACCGCGTGCGAACGCAGCCATTGGGGCCTTCGGGGGAGCTCCCTATGGGGCCTGGTAAAATGTGAGGGGTGTGCCGACATGGGCGGGGAACCGCATGCGAACGCGGCCACTGGGGCTTTCAATGGAGCTCTAGATGGGGCCACGAAACGTGCGAGGAGTGTGCCGCAATCGGGGGGGAACCGCATGCGAACGCGGTCACTGGGGCCTTCGGTGGAACTAGGACGGGAGGAGGGAGGGGGAGGAGGGAGGTGAGGTGAGCGACGGAGGGCGCTGTCTCTTCAAAACGAGGACCGAACACCACATGATGCTCGGGAGCAGATCCTCCTCATCCTCCGCTCCTGCTGGTACTGGCTAACGTTGCCCTCCAGAGGGCACGCGTAATCAAAGCCAGACCGACTGAAATAGAACTTAACGTTCTCGTCGAAGAGGAAGTCACCCATGTACTCCTCGAGGGGGAGGGGGAGAATGGCGACAAGGAGTACCAAACCGAGGAGGGAGAAAGATGATTGGAGGGCGTGGAGGTGGGGGAAAGAAAGAGGGAGGCAGAGGAGGCCGGGGGAGGATGTAGCGGAGGAGGAAGAGGAGGAGGAGGAGGAGGAGCAGGAGGCGGAGGAGGAGCAGGAGGAGGAGCAGGACGAGGAGGAGGAGGAGGAGGAGGAGAAAGAGGAGGAGGGGGAGGAGGAGGATAAGGAATGGGAGGAGAAAGAGGAAGAGGAGGAGGGGGGGAGGATAAGGAATGGGAGGAGGAGGAGGAAGAGGAGGAGGAGGAAGAATGGGAGTAGAAGGACGACGAGGAGCGCACGTAGCTTGACGGTTCGTGTCAGCTACTCGACAGAGCTCAGCAGCGCATCGCTGCGAGGGCGGCCGATCGTGCTTCTTAATGGTACTTAGGCGGAGGAGACGGTGGAGGATGTGACGCTCGGAGCGGAGGAGGGCGAGGAGAGGGGGGAAAGCTGGCAGGCATAAGGACAAAGAGGATGCCGAAGTTGTAGATGCGGCAACTGGCTTGAGCTGGAGATCTACTCAAAGCCACCTCGCCTGTGCGCCCGCGCCACTTCTGGATAGGACCAGCCCCGCTGGGCCTCCAGGGACGCCTCCCGGCCGAACGAGAATCCCAGGAGAGGAGTGCAGCCCCGAACGCGGAAGGAAGCCAACTGGAGGAGGAGGAGGAGGAGGAGGAGGAGGAGGAGGAGGAGGAGGGGGAGGAGGAGGAGGAGGAGGAGGAGGGGGAGGAGGAGGGGGAGGCGGGGGAGGAGCCATAGGCACCAGCGCTCGGGCTCAGGGTTGCGGATGCCACGTCAACGGACATCCTGACAGTCCGATCAATGAATGTATTAAGACAATGCGTTTGAGATGTCGGACAATATGCTAAACATGTTGTAGACATCTGGGAATCATTTGGCAACATGCTTCCTCTCCATCAAGGGCTCCCAACTTCGCGGTTTCGGCTGCGCGAAGCGCGGAGTGCGAACAACTTCGCGCTCGCGCGCCGCCTCCCAGGGGAGAAGAGGAGGACGAGGAGGACGAGGAGGAAGCGGAGCCGATTCGCGAAGCGCGAATCACTTCGCGCCCTCGAGGGCGCCCCTGTCCACCGATCGTCCTCCACAAGCTCAAAGGCAGGAGGGCCGGTGCCTCGGCCGCGGGCAGCCCGGGAGCGGAGCGCCGGTGGCGTGGGATGGGGGTCCACGCAGGGGGCCCAGGCCGTGCCCGAGAGGGGGGGGGACGTCCCCGGGCGACCACCAGTCAGGGGGCCCAAGGACGCACACATGAATGCACACACACGTGGCAGGATTCCCAATATTTCCTCGTCGCTTCTGGGTTTTTGTCTTCCCCCCTCCGCTTCCCATACGTTTGCAGCTTTTCCGGGGGATCGACGATTCACTGTGTCTGCGTGTGTTCTTCCCTCCTGAACCAGAAGAGACCACCAGGAAGAGCGGACGGCGGGCTGCTCCGCAGCGTGAGTGGGCGAGAGCCCCTCGAATACGGAGCACGGGCTACATTCAGGAAGCCCCGTCGGGGCGCGATGGCGCTCGAGCACGCGCCAAAGGAAGGGTTGGGAGAGGGAGGGGAAGGCAGCTCGGAGGTCAAACGAGACGAAGCGGGGGGCAAAAGAGGGAAGAAGGAAGACGAGGACTAGGACTAGGACGGTGGCCTGCCTCCGAAGAGGCAGGTCCAAGAAGGAAGACGAGGAGGAGGAGGAGGAGGAGGAGGAGGAGGAGAAATGGGAGAAGGAAGTATTCGTGGCTGTAGGCTACTGCCAATCAAGCTTCCCAAGTGTTTGCAAAGCAAGAAAATACTGAATAAGATGACTTACTGCGGGCCCCAACTAATGTACGCCACAACCACCTCCATTCCCCGTCCCTCCTCCACCCTCATCTTCTTCTCGCCTTTCCTGGGAGAGGGAGGGGATGAAAGAGGTGGTGGTGGTTGTGGTGGTGGTGGTGGTGGTGGTGGTGGTGGTGGTGGTGGTGGAGGTGGTGGTGGTGGTGGTGTATACCTTTGAGCCCCGTACTTACACATGAATCAGAATCTCAGCAAGGCCACCCCAGTTGAGGCACTCCTCCCCGGGGGGCTCGCCTTGAAGAAGCCATCAAAATGCGTACCGCTGTATACGTGAGGGCCGCGCTGGGCCGTGCCCACAGAACGTAAAGCGGCCCTGGCCCCAAGCGGTGCGGCTGTCATCCGCCCTGCGCCCGTCAACCAAAAACTGGGGGAGGAAGCCAGCGAGGGGAAACTACCACTTCAAATCTACACCACAAATCATGATCGACTGGCGCTCCACCACAAACAAAAACTCAAACCCGACTGCGACGGGCCACCATGTGAGGCACACCCTCCGTGAGGGCCGCACGCTGCGAGCAAACTGTGCCGAGAAGGAGGCCACCGGCCAGCCTCGCCTGCTTGCTGCAGGCTGTGCCCCTCCAGGTGTCCTTCGCCACTGGCACGGAGTGGTTGCTGGAAGCACCGAGGAGTGCGATCACGGCTCACAGCCCTGCTCCTACGGATCGCTCGAGGGATCTGGGTGCGATCGGCACTGCGCGCTGCGCGCTGGGTTCTAGGGCCCTCCAGCGCGCTCCAAAACAATGGATGCATTGCGCTTCAAAGCTCGGCAAGCCAAATGAACCTAACATCTCCACGGACCATATTGGCTGGGATCGAAACGCTCAAAAACCGCGCCGCGGCCAAAACTTCCGTGATCGAATTGACGAATCCGCCGACCCTGTGGCGTGTGGGAGAGGCTTTTCCGCCTTCCCCACAGCGTCGTCGCCTCTTCTGCTTTCCGACGGCTCCCTACACAAGTCCACACAAAAAATTGAACAACGTTATTCTTCAGTCGAAGGGAAGCCCCTTCCCTTGATCCCATCCCCGCCAGGGCGGGGGGTCCCGGGCAACTCCCGGGGGCGGTCCCCCCTCGGATACGCAGCTCCCCGCCTCTCATCCTCCTGCGTCCTGGGGCTCCGTTGGCCCTCCGGGGCCGTCTGCGGGCCCTTTCAGCCTATCTTAAGGCTCCTTGGAGACCTTTCGCCATTTTTAGACTCTCTTGGCAGCCTCTGGCGGCACTCTTGACAGCCTCTGCGGGCGCTTTTGGACCTCGCTTGACGCTGTCTTGGAACCCTCTCGGGCCACTTGAGGGCGCTCTTTGCCTACTTTGGCACTCTTTGGAGCCGTTCCCGAACCCTGGAGGAGGCCTCTTGAGCTGTCTTCGGACGACCTTGCAGGCATCTGGCGCCGTCTTCGAGCCATCAGTGGGCATCTTGGACTTCTCTACCTCCATTGTCTTCGTCGTCGCTGCCTACAGGGTCGGCGGCATCGGCCGTAAGGCCTTCGCAATAGAGGACATGTGGGTTCCCCGATGACGGAACACGTGACAGTTTCGCATCATCATCGGCGCAATGACTGGGCACGCAAACTACACCGAACCCCTCAGACCACAAATCGAGCAATTCACAGAGCTCCCACCGCAAATCGAGTTAGATATCTGCAACCACATGGGCGTGGTGCTGCCACCCCTGGAAAGCTTTCTGGAGATTAACCACCGTCAGGTGTTGATCGCGCTACCTGACGTGCCACTACAATAATGGCAGCAATATCTGCGCACGGCAGTCTGACGATAACTGTCCAGCACTCCGACCGCCAAACAATCCCAATCAACGTCAGGACAGATGCAAAGGCGCGAGAAGCCGGACGTCACACGACGCAAGAGGGGAGCGGATGCAAACTGCCCCCAGAGCCATCAAAAACATAACTCCATCCTGGCAAAGGACCACTATTGTGTCGAAACAACTCCAACACCCTATCTCAGGAACTCGTGAAGGCAGGGTCACTGCTTCGGATTGGGACCACGACGCCAAAATATAGAATGCGCATGAAGTGTATCGGGGCTTGAAGGCACGTCTCATTGTTCCCAGAAGCGCGCTCGCAAGAGAAGGCTGCACGATGAGAACAGCCCCAAAGCCAAAGTATCCTGGCGAAAGGCCCAACCATCTGCAGCTGTGAGTATCGCCGGTGTGGGTATCGTCTTCGGTGGATCTCCGTATGGGGCCACGAAGCGTGTACTCCAACTTTTGTAATAAAAGGGGGGGGTCTGATTTGGGGGGGGGGTCTGGCTCGACCTGTCTTGGAGACAGGGGGTCGGGTCTGAGTTTGATGCCCGAGGGAGTCCCGCGGGGGGGGTCTGTTTCGATCTGTCTGGGAGGTTTCGATCTGTGTGCCGAAACGGGGCGGGGACGCATGCGGGCGCTGCCACTGGGGCCTTCGCAGGCGCTCCATATGGGGCAGCGAAACGTGTGATGGGCATGCCGAAATGGGCGAGGGGCCGCCATGCGAACCTCGCCACGGGGGCCTTCGGTGGAGCTCCCTGTGGGGCCACGAAACGCGCGAGCGGTATGCCGAAGTGGTCGGTGGGGGACGCATGCGAACGCTGCCACTGGGGCCTTCGGTGGAACTGTCCATGGGGCCACGGAGCGTGTGAGGGGCGTGCCAAAACGGGCGCGGGGCCGCCATGCGAACGCAGCCACTCGGGCATTCAGTGGGGCTCCCTATGGGGCCATGAGACGTGTGATGGGTGTGCCAAAATGTGTGCGGGGCCGCCATGCGAACGCTGCCACTAGGGCCTTCGGTGGAGATCCTTGTGAGGGCACGAAGCGTGTGAGGGGTTATGCCAAACTGGGTACGGGGCCGCCATGCGAACGCTGCTGCTAGGGCACTCGGTGGAGACCTCTTATGGGGCGACGAAACGTGTGAGGGGTGTACTAAACTGGGTGCGGGGCCGCCATGCGAACGCTGCCACTGGAGCCTTCGGTGGAGCTCCCTCTGGAGCCACGGGACGTGTGAGTGGTGCGCCAAAACTGGCGCGGGGCCGCCATGCGGACGCAGCCACTCGGGCCTTCAGTGGAGCCCCCTTAGTGGGCCACGAAACGTGTGAGGGGTGTGCCAAACTGGGTGCGGGGCCGCCATGCGGACGCAACCACTCGGGCCTTCGGTGGAGACTTTTTTTCTGGGCCGCGAAGCGTGTCAGGGGCGCGCGGAAGCTGATGGCGATGATGGTGGTGATGATGGTTATGGTGATGACGATGATGGTGATGGAGACGGTCATGATGATGATGGTGATGGTGATGCTGATTGAGGATGGTGATGATGGTGAGGATGATGGTGATGATGATGATGATGATGATGATGATGATGATGATGCTGCTGATGATGATGATGATGATGATGATGATGATGATGATGATGATGGTGCTGATGCTGAAACTGATGATGATGAGGATGATGATGATGAGGATGATGCTGACGGTGATGATGCTGATGATGTTGGTGACGATGATGCTGCTGATGTTGATGATGGTGATGATGATGATGATGATGACGATGAAGAAGAAAAATATGAAATTGATGATGACGTCGAGGATGATGATGCTGATGGTGAAGTAGAGAGGAGGGGAAGGCGGAAGGAGTGAGACGCGGGGCGCTTTCTCTTCAACACGAGGACCCAACACCACAGGATGGTTGGGAATGACTGGACGAGCCAACGGTTGCCCCGCTCTGCTAACAAATAGGACATGTAGCGAGCTTCGCTGAGCGCTTGCGCCCCTCAGGTAACTAGCCGCTGCAGGCAGCCAGCCGAATCATGTGGGATAGCGGCACCTCGCCGTCCTTCCTTCGTAACACGCTATATGAGTCCCGCAGCATTCGCCCATTCGACGGTGCGGAGGAGGAGGAGGAGGAGGAGGAGGAGGAGGAGGAGGAGGAGGAGGAGGAGGAGGAGGAGGAGGAGGGGGGGAAAGGTATGAAGAAGGAGGAGGGGAGTGGGAGGAGAAGGAGAAGGAATCCACGTACCGAGGGGACGGGCCATGTAGGCAAATTGAATGCTAGTGCTACTGGGTTGACACTGGCAGGCTATAAAATCTGAGCGCATCGCCCGGGGTGCACTGCTAACTTGCCGTGCAGCAGGGAACTCATAGTAAAGCAACGAAAAAGGGAAGGAGGGAGGTAGGACGAGGAGGAAGGAGAAAGGAGGGGGATGGATAATGGAGGGAGGAGAGACGAAGGGGGGGGGAAGGTTCCTCCAGGTAGGTAGTGAGCACGCGGCGATCGTAGTTGTCGGTGACGCGACCACCGTACATCGCCTCGCCGATGAGGTAGCGCAGAGTTTCCCAGGGCACGGCCTCCTTCTTGTCGAAACTCTTCTGCAAGTACAGGTTGAGCAGCCTCGCCGACACCTTGAAATCCGACTCGTTGAAATCATAAGGGACGTTCCAGCCAATCCTCCCGAACTTCCTGCGGTCCTGGACAGCGGCATGCAGGATAATGAGCAGGCGGAGGAGGAGGAACTTCAATGGCCGTTTGAGGAGGAGGAGGAGGACGAGGAGGAGGAGGAGGAGGAGGAGGTCAGGCAAGGCAAGGCAAGGCAAGGTAAGGTCAGATTGGCCAGGTCGAGGGAGTCAAATGGGCTCCGCCTATTCCAACCCTCCCTCCCACAACATAAGAATCACTTGTGGCACAACTTGGCGTTGCGCTCGGCTCGCGCGCGGCTCCGCTTCCGACGACTCGACGAATGGGGACGTCACGCGGGCCGCGCAAGGGGGCGGGACCGGCAGAGCTTCGGAGGGGCGCGGCGAAGGCGAAGCGTGCGCCGCACGGACCCAGACCCCCGACGTCATGATTTTTTCATGACGTCGACCCCCCGAGGTCTCGACCCATTCCCCGGGACCGGTTTTTCGTCCTGAGTCGTTTTCTGACGGTCCCGAGGGCCGGCAAGGGCCCCCAGAGGCCAAAAATAGTGAAAAACCTCCCGTCGTGATTTTTGTCATAACTCGAGGGGGTCTGGGGACACAACGCTGCCACCTCCACCAGCAATGCTGAGCGGCGCTTGGGCGAGGACGGCATTCGCTCGCTTTCGCGCGGCCGCGCTGCCGCTGACGCGTGGCACGCGACTCGGCTGCGGAGGCGCCCGTGCGGGAAACCACTGCCGAGCGAAGTGCGCACGCGGAGCTTTCGCGAGGGCGAATGAGCCGCCCACCCGCGCAGGCCTCCCCCTCCCCCTCCTCCTCCTCCTCCTCCTCCTCCTCCTCCTCCTCCTCCTCCTCCTCCTCCTGCCCCATCCTCCTCCCCCATCCTCCTCCTCCTCCTCCTCCTCCTCCTCCTCCTCCTCCTCCCTCCTCCTCCTCCTCCCTCTCCTCCTCCTCCTCCTCCTCCTCCTCCTCCTCCTCCTCCTCCTCCTCCTCCTCCTCCCTCCTCCTCCTCCTCCTCCTCCTCCTCCTCATCCTCCCCATCCTCCTCCCCATCCTCCTCCTCCTCCTCCCTCCTCCTCCTCCTCCTCCTCCTCCTCCTCCTCCTCCTCCTCCTCCTCCTCCTCCTCCTCCTCCTCCTCCTCCTCCTCCTCCTCTCCCTCCTCCTCCTCATCCTCCTCCTCCTCCTCCTCCCTCCTCCTCCTCCTCCTCCTCCTCTCCCTCCTCCTCCTCCTCCTCCTCCTCCTCCTCCTCCTCCTCCTCCTCCTCCTCCTCCTCCTCCTCCTCCTCCTCCTCCCCTCCCCCTCCCCCTCCCCCTCCTCGCCGCCTTGCCGCCGCGGCGGCGAGGCACGCCGGGGCGCCACTTTAAGGCGAAATCGGCGCGGTGCCGAGGCGAGAACGACCTTTTCGCCCCCTCGCGAATCGACGACAGCGCGTGCGAGAGTGTGCGCTGCGCCTGCGCGGGAGCTCAGCTCTGTCGAAAAAGGGGCGCGGCGCCGAGGCGGCGGCGACACTGCGGCCTCTCGCGCGGGCTGTGCGCCCCGCCCCGCTGCTGCCACGCATTTTTTGCAACGTGGACGACACGATGCCCACGCTGAAACGACACACGTTGACTCTGGATGGCTCCTGACGGGTAGGATGGGACCACCCGCATTGGGTGGCTATCGGCCGGCTACGTGGCACAACGGTATACCGTATGTTGACTATAGTCAACACGTTGACTACAGTCAACATGCGAACCCGCCGAATCCGGAGCGTGAGTTTCTGAGAGCGTGGGCCCCAGCTCTGCTGGCACTCCGGCAGAGTCTCTGGTCTGCATGGGGGGGTCCAAATGCTCCGTTCTCCCGGGCTCCGCTCTCCTCGGCTTGGGCCCTGGAGTCCGGCCCTGGCCCCGGCCCCGGCCTTGGCCCCCCCCGGGCCCCATGGCCCCGGCCCCGGCCCCCCCCGCCCCGTCCCCGGCCCCTCGCCCGGCGACCCCTGCCCTGGCCCCAGGCCTCGGCCCGGGCCCCGGCTCCGGCCCTGCTCTGGCCCCCCCTGACACCGGATCCGCCCTACTTTGAGGAAATTCGTAAGTGGGGCTTGGAATTTCCGCCTTACTTTTCAAGTCCCGCTGATGCCAATTTCCGCCCTACTTTTCTGTTGCTGTTTCTGCGGGTTTCCGCCCTATTCTATGTTGGGTGCAGCAATTTCCGCCCTACTTCTTCGGCCTCTTATAGGTGGATTTCCGACGCAATTTTAAGTTGGAAACAAAGCCGAAGTAGGGCGGATCCGGAGTCAGGGCCAGGCTCGGCCACGGGGCCGGGCCGGGCCCAGGCTGGTCCCAGACCCCCGGCCGCGGCCCCGGCGGCCCCCGGCCCCAGCCCTGGCCCGCGTCGTTGAACATCGTCATCGTCGTCATCGGTCGTCGTCGCTGGTCGTCGGTCGTCGGCCATCGCGCGCCCTGAACTTTCCATCGTCGTCGTCAGTCGTCCTCCTCGTCGTCGTCATTGTCGTCCGTCCTCGTCCATGGTCGTCGTCGATATTCCGTCGACCGTTGTTGGCATACGTGGCTCGTCGTCGTCTTCTTCGTCGCCGGAGTCCACGACAGCACCAGGAACGCACCAGATCGGTGGCACTGGCTGGAGGACACCACAACACAGAAGCAGGACCAGGTAAAGGAAGGTCGAATAGGATCAGGCAAGATAAGGTAAGGAAGGGCGCTTGGGGGCCACAAGATCCTGCTGAGAAAACCAGCCCGCCCCCTGTGTGGCTTCAGTGGGCGCAGGGCCCTCCGGTTGCACCGGAGGGCCTGCCTGCCGGGAGCGTCGGAGCAGGCAGCCTGTCCGCCGAGGCGTCGGCGGAGGGACACTTCGCTGCTGACTGCCTGCCAGACCACCCCAACCCAACCCGAAGACCCGAATTTCGGGCTGGGAGGGGGTAAGGGTTCCACACGTGTTTTTTCGATGTTTCCCGACCCCCCCCCCCACTGGAAATCGAGGGTAAGTCTGAGCCTTCGGGTTGGGTTGGGGTGGTTTGGCGGGTGGTGATGCTCTGCCGAGCACACGGCAAGACAGGATAGCGGGAGGGGGCAGCGAGCCGCGGCGTGCGCCCCCGCCCGGGAGCCGTGCGTGCACGCGCCGCTCTCCTCCTCCTGCCCAGGTGACCCGAGGCGGGTCCCGCGAACGTCGGCTGAGTGCATGGGTAGCACTACTGTACGTATCGTCGCTCGCGATCCTGAGCTTCGAAACGTCGACTAGAATGAGGAGGAGGAGGAGGAAGAGGAGGAGGAGGAGGAGGAGGAAGAGAACCCGAGAAGAAAATGTTCCTGGACAACTGCATGGAAGAAGGCGAGGACGTACATGAGCGGCCGGAATGAGGCGTGGTTGCAGTCATCCTTAGAAGCCCGCGCCCGATCCAAGTTGATCCACGGTTCGATCTGGCGGCACACACGGGGGGGTGGCGCGAGGGGGGAGGCCTTCAGAGAAGCCATGAGGGCTTCTGAGAAGGCAGGGGGCGTCCCGGAAGTCCTCCCAGCTCCTGGGCGGCCCCCTCGGGAAGAACCCCTGGACCACTCCGAGAAGGCCCCTGGCCCCAAGAGAGCCCCCTGCCATCTCGGAAGGCCCCCCCCCCCCGCGCCAGCCCCCCTGCGCGGCGCCGACGGACCAGGACCCTGCCTGATCTGAGCAGTCCGATCCATGCAAAAGCCTTAGATGCTCATTCTGGGGACCTTCCAGGAGCCACTCCCTCCACTCGTGCGTCGAAGCTGCGTCGAACCTGATTCGAACCTGAGTCGAACCTGAGTCGAACCTGCGTCGAACCTGCGTCGAACCTGAGTCGAACCTGAGTCGAACCTTCGTCGAATCTGAGTCGAGCTTGAGTCGAACTCGAGTCGAACCTGAGTCGAGCAGATCCGTTGGGTGGGCCCTAGGAAGGTCCCCAGAACGAGCATCGAAAGAGCCCACAGCCGCCCCACCTGGCCGAGG